TGCCTTCTGTGGCTTGGGCGGTGAGGCTCGAGCACTTGCCGGGGAAGACCAAGGCAAAAAAGTCATTGAGTACCTCTGCCTTCTCCATGTCCCGGGTAACCAGGTCTCCTGTTTCGTTCCAGAGAGAGCCCACATTTTCCCTCGTTTTCCTTTTATCCTCGGCGTACCTATAGAATCTTTTCTTGTTGCCCTTGACGTCCCTGGCCAGGTTTAGACCGTTGCTACTTGTCCTATCTGTCCTCATCAGGAAAATCACTATCTGGCAGCAGTTGAGTGGCTGAGTCGCGTAGCTGGCTTTTGTGGGGAGGGTAAATCAAACTGAAAATCATTGTAGAGAGAGTTGGACCAGGAATGAAGAGAAGCACTTGGACTTTTTTTGATTGTTACGAGTTACGTAAAAATCCCAACTGACCTTTGTTCGGTCGCTTTGTTCATCTGTTTTTCTCCCCTCCCTCTCCCTCGCTCTTAAGTTTTGTGCAGGCTGTTTCTATCGGGGACTGTCTTCTCTCTTTATTCAGTTGACAGATGGTATATTAACTATCTTAAGGTGGAATGCCTTCCAGCAAAGATAACCTCTTCCACCACTGAGACCACCAGCCTTTTTAATTGCAGGTGATGCAAAGGACTATTTTTCATAGACTAAGGTATTTTTCGCTAATTGGGAAGGTAAATTACTTATCTGTGCTACCTCAAGCAGAATGTGTCTTAGTATACATTGATGCAAATTCTGAGCAATTTTCTTACATAACAGTTGATTAATCAGATTGTTTTCCCCCTAGGCTGTGTACCAGTATAGAGCTGATGTTGTACCTTGCATTCACCTGGAGATAATAAGCCTCTTTTTTTTCTTTTTTCTTTTTTTAATTTAAACTATTTATTTTTCTTTAAGTTAACCAAGTTTGCCAAAAAGAGGAAATAGTAGTAGTGAACTCTTAGATTGTGTTCAACTGTCCTGGGAATTTAAAGGTATTTGGATGCTAGGTGGTATTTTAGAAACAAACAGGGGTTGCACAGGTTTGCTCAAGGATTTCTGAACCACCCCCCCCCAGGACAATTATTTATATTTTTTTGATGCCTAAACACCTTTTGAAACTCTAGTTCTGTGCACCTTCCAGACACTTTAGCTCATCTTCCCCATGTGCTGGCTTTCATCTAAAGAGGAAAATGAACCTTCCTTCTTTTCCAACTTCCAGCTAGATTTTAGTTTAGAATAAAAAAGTCCAAACACAAATATTTTCTTTGCTTGCTGGCTAACAAAGATGGAGCCTTCTATGCGCAATAGATACGGAGTACTTACAACTGGATGTAGCCTCATAAGTTAAATATGACTGCTTCCCTGTTGTGCTTATATATGTGTGTGTGTTTAATAGGAAAAATGTCAAGTAAGCTTTTTATTTAAAAAAATTCAAATACAGTTGCATTAAATACTGCCTTGCCTATAGGTTATTTTGAAATTTAGTATTAATCTGATTAACTTTTTAAAAGGAAATAATATTTTTGTATTAAAAAACAAGATATAACTTTTATTTCCTGTGAGCTGCTGCCACCGCTCTTACGCTGCAGATGCTTGGCTGCATCTCTCTCCACCTCCTTGGTCCTGTGCTTCGTGTTTCTGCTGGGTCACCCAAGTTAGACCCATTGGTGCAAGTTGAGTGGAGCTCCTAGCAGAATTCGTTTTAAAGTTTTAATCATCAACAATCTTCAGGAATTTGCTAAGCAGCTAATTTTCTCTTGTTAATACTTTAATGTCTCCCAAAGGCAATGCTTAGTATATATTGAGGATTTATTGGAAAAAATGCCGTTTAAATTGCACCCATGAAAGTTCAAGTGAATGGGCTTCGAACGTGGTGCAGCCGGATGGCCAGCAGCGAGGCTCGCCAGCTGTTTTCTCCTGTGTTCAAGCTATCGTTGTTGTAGCCCTTCCCTTCCACTCAAGTTCAATCTGTGTTGAACCGAACATCAATGAGATGTTCCCTTCGGAAAAGAACTGGTGAATGAATGTTTTGAAATATCAATAACGTGAAATTTGGTCCTATCGTGAAGCCTGCTGGTGAAATTATGGGTCGAAGGCATGAACTCAGGACAGCACTGCATCTATGGCTGGATATCTGGTTTCTCATCTATGCAATTATTATTTATAATTCCTTATTTTAAACTCTGTTTCCTTAAAGCAGGAATAAGCAGTGTCCCTATTTTTATAAACAGATGAGGATGCTAAATTCATACGAAATGTTAATACCAGAATGACAGTAATTATAGTCTCTAACTTCGTCATTCTAGATTTCAAGATTTGAAAAATTTACCCAGGAATACTCTGTGGAGGTCTACACAACCTCTAGCATGTCTGTCCTCTTCAGCTCCCCGAAACAGTTCTGCCACAGCTTAAACAGTTACGCTCTGTGATTAATTATAATATATGTTTTTAAATGGCTTCACTCCAATTTCATCCTTATTCAGTATTGCTTTATAGGAAATGTGGGTCTATGTCATGGTTGTCTCGGAAAAAGATCTCTTTCCCTTTCCTTTCTTTTTATCCATTTCTTTCTTTTGAAATCATCTCTCTGTTTTTTATCTCAATTTTTTTCACACTTTTCTTCATTATTTTTATATTTTTCTAACATACCTTATTTAATTCTCCTTCCTAGCTGGACTGTCTACATACATACATATTAAATAAGGAGATTGTATGTGTGTGTGTTTATGTATATGTAATAATATGATGTTATATGCAATAATATGTAATACAGACATGTGTATATTTACTATAAATATGTGTACATATATATACATGCATGAGGGATGAAGGGATGGAGAGCAACCCTGCCGAGAAGGACTTGGGGGTACTGGTGGAGGAAAAGCTGGACAGGAGCCGGCAACGTGTGCTCGCAGCCCAGAAGGCCAATTGTACCCTGGGCTGCATCCAAAGCAGCGTGGCCAGCAGGGCGAGGGAGGGGATTCTGCCCCTCTGCTCTGCTCTGGGGAGACCCCCCCTGGAGAACTGCGTCCAGCTCTGGAGCCCTCAGCATAAGAAAGACACGGACCTGTTGGAGCGGGTCTAGAGGAGGGCCACGAAAATGATCAGGGGGATGGAACACCTCTGCTATGAAGACAGGCTGAGAGAGTTGGGGTTGTTCAGCCTAGAGAGGAGAAGGCTTTGGGGAGACCTTCTTGCAGCCTGTCAGTACTTCAAGGGGGCTTATAAGAAAGATGGGGACAGACTTTTGAGCAGGGCCTGTTGCGACAGGCCAAGGGGGAATGGCTTTAAACTGAAGGGGGGTAGATTTAGACTAGATAGAAGGAAGAAATTCTTCACTATGAGGGTGGTGAAACACTGGCCCAGGTTGCCCAGAGAGGTGGTGGATGCCCCATCCCTGGAAACATTCCAGGTCAGGCTGGACGGGGCTCTGGGCAACCTGATCTAGTTGAAGATGTCCGGGCTCATTGCAGTGGGGTTGGACTAGAGGTCCCTTTAGAGGTCCCTTCCAACCCAAACTACTCTATGATTCTATATTTTTTTTTTTTTTTCCTCCTGGTAGCCTCTATTTGTATAGATATAGAGGGTGGGAAATGTAACCAATATTTCAGAAGCAGAGAAAGCCAACTCTAAAAGCAGGAGATGCGTTTGGAAGTGGCCATGGACAGGAAACTTTGTGCCCTGCCAGATGGCAGCTGGGCTCTGGTAGCTGCTCTCAGTCCCCTCTGCAGGCTGCAAGAGTCGAGCTTTCCTTTTGCTTTTATTTATCGCCGTTGACTCCCCCCTGGCTTTGCTGCTCTATATCTGTCTGGTGTTTCTGCTCTGGAGGCCCGTGGCAGAGCTCCGGTACCGAGTACGATGCTGCTGGCACCCGGCAAGAGGCATCATCGGGCACGGTGGCGAGGGGAAGGTGGGCGTCCCTAAGCAGAGCACGCTGGCCAGCATCCTTCTTGCTGCCCTCGGGGGCTCTGGGAGGTCTTTCGGAGGAGGCTGATGGGAGCAGCACGGGGTTATCACCACTGGTTTTTAGACCGAAGGTTTCCTTCATTCTGTATTAGCAACTCTAGTAAGTATTACTCTTTTTTACATGAAAGCTGCATAAATAGGTGCCCCTACTTAAGACTTTAAATTCACTCGCCTGGAGCAAGTCCAACCCAGTAATCCTTTCAACGGCAATGAATGGACGTGGGACTGTGTGTAAGAACCAGCTGGTTTACAACCCTCCCGGATTTCTGAAAGCTACTATAGACATTAAACACTGCAAAGTTGAAAATTGATACTTTTATATCATATAACAATATAAAATTATTCATTCTGCCTTGAGAGAAGTATATTTTCAATAAAGCAAATTCCTGTGCGTCTGACTTTCTTCTTGCTTTGCTCTCCTGCTTTGCAGACAAGCTCGGAAATTAATGAGGCCATGAGCTGTTGAGGGTGTTATAGTAGTAGAAATATACAGTATGAGTTTGTTTAATTTTCTCTATGAGTTTGTTTTAATTTTAAACCATCATCTGCATGATGGTTTAAAATGCAGGCAATTAAGTTTTCTCTTTCCCATGTTACACAGGTATATTGGATAATATCTAGTGTCCAGAGATATTTTTTTTTCCCAGGAAAGTGAAATGTCAAAAATTCTGCAATTTTCTAATTTATATTTTATTATGATTTTTTTTTTTTTGCCTAAAGTTAGGTATTTTGTCATATTTTTCCCATTCTTTATTGCACTAACTATTTCTAATTGAGCTTCAACATTGTAGAAGACTTATGAAATGCTGATAATCCAGCTTTAAGATGTCAATATGAGTTTTGATAGTTTTTCTTCTTCTTGCAGATGTTCTTGAAGGCTACAATGGCACAATCTTTGCTTATGGACAGACATCATCAGGAAAAACGCATACTATGGAGGTACAGTGGCAAAATTAAATCAGTTTGGTAGCAGCAGTAGAATTATGTGTACCGATTACCTTAACAAGCCAGCTATCTGGAGCACTCAGCTGTGAGTGACATATAAAGAGAGATCTGGGTATGTTTAGCTTCTACTGCCTTTGAAGCTGTAGTATTTCTTTCAATGTGGAGTTTTCTTCAAGAGATGTCTACAGATATCTAGCTAAACTAACAAATGGTGAGTGGAAAATACCATGTATAGTTTCTCCATATTTGTCATAACAGTTTATTTTAAGGGATTTGAATGAGATTTGTTAATCCACAAATGAAAACAGTAATAAGGGTCTTCAGAGTGCCCTTGCATACAGGATTATGAAAATTCACGCCTTGGTTATTGGTTTTCTCATGTGCACCCCCCTTCTGGGAATACCGCTCTCGCGTGCTGCAGCACAGATGGATGAATCTGAGAATTGTTGCTTTGGAGGAGAAGAATACCAAATTGTACCAAATTCCAGTGGCTGAAGTCCTGAGTCTGTTCCTATTTCTGCTACGTGAAGTGTGACAGTGTAGTTTTCCTCCTGTGTTTTTGTTTTTTTTAACTGTTCGGTTAGAAGACATTTAGATATTTTAGTCTCTTGCTAAAAAAGGAGGATCACTCAAGTGTTTAATCCTCGCATAGGATTGTTCCGTCACAACGCTGTACAAGCTGGGCGTATGTGTCTTGGAGCACTTCAATTCAACTGTGAACTTCAAACAGGAGGTCGACAGCAAAGTTTTGCTAAATGAAAGGAAAAAATGAGCTTTCATTTGTTTAACAGCATCAGATGGTTTTGCTACACGATAAACACAGGTGACCTGACTATAACCGGAAGGTTAAAGGAGAAGGAAAGCAACACTCCCTCGAGCCAACAGGCCCTGGTGCAATTGCTGTTCGATTGCCACAGTTGCTCCTTTCCTGGAGGATGCAATAACCGATGCCTCACATCTAATTAAGTCTGTCCTTGCGAGGATGGGGGAAATCACTAGCTCAGCCCTCACAGATGGCACAATGGCTGAGTAATCCACCAGCTCTGAATGTAATTAAATCAAAATGTCTGGAGGGCTTGAGCTGGTGCTTCCACGCGGCATAGGAAAAGATCTCTTAAAGCCAATTTATATTCAGAATTACAAGCTGCGATAAAGAAAATGACTGTAGAAAAATGGCTGTTTTACTTCTTTAATAAAGAAAAAGCTGTCATTTTAAAGTGGAATCAAATCTATATTCGGTTTTAATCCCCCTTTTAACCTAACATCCTCTTGTAAAGTTGCTAAAGTATGTTGTGGAAGAAAAAAATAGTCTGAAGTTGAGGAAATAGTAAATCCTTTTGGTAAAGCTGTTATGGAGGATTTTCTGTGAAATGTGAAATGCTTCATAGTGTTAGCGTTAAGCTTAAACAGGACACGGTAGTATAATGTAGCCGGGATAGGCTTTCTGACATACATAGGTCTTTCTGCTGTGCTAGATGAAACATTTGCCAACCTGTATAGCAGGATATAACCAAAACCTTCTTAAAAATTACATATTTTTGCCCATAAAATTGTATTGGTGGGCTTTGACCTTATAATAGCGTTTTCAATAGTGGGTCCCTATAGATTGTAGTTATTATGTCAACATCCTGAAATAAAACAGCACTGTCTCAAATGTTACACTTCACTAGCTCCTGCCTGCCTGCTATGTGTAAATGTGGAAATTAATGTTCTTATTAAAATGAGAGGCTTTAATGAGCAGAGAACTGTCCTGGTGATTTGGGGGAGTTTACTAACTGCAATGTCAGCATGGCAGCAGCAGCACGTTTCTCCAAACTCTTTCTGAGGTTACAGCTAAATCCATGTGAGGGGTTGGTTTTCTGTTTTTGGATGGGTTTTTTTTTGTTGTTGTTTTTTTAATTTTATTCCAGCTTTCCGGTGAATAGCCTACCTTTACCTTTCTCTTCCCTTCCAGTTTAGGGTCTCCATAAATTATAGTGGGACTTGCTTCAATCATCTCTTGTTTTAATAAAAATCCATTGATAAAGTAAAAGTGGTTTGTTTTGTTTTTTTTTCAATACATCACAGAGTGCTGGTGTTACAGCGTTTTAAAGATCTTAACTTTTTCTTTGCAAAGCAGTGAATGTGATCTTGCTTCACTGAAGTTTCTACTGACTTAGTGAGAAAACCCAAGAAGTTGTAGATTCGGTTACATGCACACTTAATCATGTTTTACAGATTGCTTTCTCTTCTGAGCTAGAGAAAGCTATGTAAAGGGAAGCATAATTATTACAGGGCCTGTTGAGGCTAGGAGAATGTTTAATTAAATACTTCTATAAGTTGTCACTTAGCCAGAGCCCAAGCAGTTATTAGAGGAAGGGTTTACCTAGTGCAGGGATCCCAAAGCTGATGCACCTCTGTGCAGACAGAAGTCTCTGCAACAAAACTTTGAATTCAAACGTCTTTGGCTGAGCTAACAACCCAGCTCGATCAGAGCTACTATAGAAGAGGGGGGGGCACTGCATAGCTCTAGCATTTCTCATTCTGTAGCTGCCTTTGCCTCTGCTGCCTTAGGAATCGTGCGTCTTGCAGCGCTATATAGCGTAGACATGCCTTTGGTTGCATTCATGTGCGCTGAAGAAATGCCAGCAAAACTCTGTTTATTCTAGTTGAGGAAAAACTCCTTTCCCCTCTTCGGGAAAACTCTCTCCGTGCAGTAACACAAGGTAGTCAGCTGGTTTCAGTGGGCTTTTCAAGGACTTCTTCAGGGAGAAGGGGTGGACAGTGTGGAAATTGTATTGCGGTCTCTGCTCAGTAATGGCGCTGTGTGATGGAACCGAGTGCTGTGCTGGCAAGCTAAAACAAAGCGTTGGGGTTTGCTTTAAGTGTGTGTTTGTGCATACAAGTTTTCCCCTCCATCAGGGATTTAGTTTTTTTAATCACCCTCTTTTTCATTCTCATAGTCTGAAATAAAATGGTGTATCATATGACAAGGACTTTTTAGTTTTTGAGAAGCTTAATAGGATGTTAGATATAGTATAGCATTTAACTGCTTCCACTGCAGAAAGTAATATTATTTTTATAATATAAATAAAATATTCACGCTTTAGATACAGCTGAGTGCTGCTTTATAGAGAAGGCAGTCAGCAATGTAACTGATTTATCTATATTCCCCCCGGCTTTTTTTCCCCAGGATGTGTAATTCAAGGGCAGAAACCTAGTAACTGCTTTAAATACCAGCTCTGAGATAGAGAGGGAGAGATTGTGTCAGTTCTTCATGTTAAATTTCCTTCATCCTAGGTTGATGCTTAGAAGTTGACTGTCATTTCACCAGCTTTAGCATAAAGGAAGCAATGTCTAAAAAGACTATAGTTGAGTATCCTAATAAAGGCTGGGAAACTTGGAAAACGGGTCAATGTGACCCACTAGTCATTCACAAACATGCATTATATTGAGAAATACATGTACATGTGTATGATTTTCTTCCTATTTTGTTAAAAAAATGTTGGTGTTTAATAATTTTTAGCAATTACAGATCAAATCTAACTTTCCGTGATTTGGAATTGTATGGTTACCAACTATATTAAACAAAATAAAAATTTCCCTACCACTGCTTGGAGTAAGACGCTTTGTTGTGCTGATATGGACAGTGATACTTGGACAAAGATATATTCAAAAGGTGTATTAGAGTTTCTAGATGCTATGTCCTGATAGAGTCTTATGACTACTGACTTGTTATTGTATATTTAAGCAGTTTCATAAAACACTCAGAAATTATAATACAGTGTACGCTGTAGTCAGAAAAGGTTTTTATTTTGAGTTTATATTTCTGTTCAGTTTTCAAGTGGTGTTAGCTTTCCTGTACGTGTCTGGCTTTTTCAAAAAGAGCAATGCAACTAAAAGGAGCCATGCAGCCAGGGAAATTGTTGGGTTTAGTTAAGACTCAGTTCTTGAAAGAATAGAGGAGGGTAGTTGTGCAAATTAACGTGGAGAACAGTAGTGTTTGTAAGGCACAGTTCGCTGGCAATAGGCCCAGCAAGCTCAAATCAGAATATATCGCTCTTAATTCCCAAATCCCCGCAACCCAGATTTCCCTTTAGCTTTCTAGCGTAGTGGTGAAAGAGGAACAAAATGCTTTAATACTTCATGTTTCTGACATGTTTCCAAATACCGGATTTAACTGGGAGAACCAGGCTGTAATTTGTACGTTTCTTTGTGTTTATTCATCTATCTTTGGTCGGAGAGTGACAGTGTAAATAGCGGCAGGACAGCACGCTTGGCAAATGGCAGGAGCTGACACACCAAATAGGTGCTCCGTCGGGTGAAAAGTGCTAACATGTCGAGTCGTTCTGCCACCTTTTCTGTGGACTTACATCAAGCAAATCCCCCCCCGAGCAGCAGACACCGTCATAGGGGCCCACTGGAGGAAGGTGTGTTTGGACAAGCCTTTCTCCTCTCTTGTGCCTGAGCAAGGCTTTCCAAGTTACGGTTTGGTTTTGTGTCCGCAGGGGAAGCTGCACGACCCTCAGCTCATGGGAATCATTCCGAGAATTGCACATGACATCTTTGATCACATCTATTCCATGGATGAAAACCTGGAGTTTCATATAAAGGTAAATGTGGAATGACGGGTTACGTAATGGGTCAGGTGGAAGAAGGTTGAGCTGGATGGGAAACCTGCATTTGTGCTGTAACGCTGTGCTGCAGAATTTTTCCTTTCTCCCTTTTATAACTCAAAAAACCATTGGTTACTGAGGATATTTACTAGAAATAATCCAATACAGTTCCTAGCCTTTGATGGAAATTCTTTTTGAGTGTGTTTTCAGCTCAGGTTTGCTAGTCCGTTGGTTGCCTTGTCTCTCACCACAGCTGATAGGCTAGCCGACATGGTAAGAAAACACTTATTTCACTGCAGCTTCTCCGAAGACTGTACCCCAGCCCCACTAGTTATGACCATAAATACTGTGGATCTGCGTGACGTTTGAGAGAATACTGACATGTTGTTCCTATCTCAGTGACATAAACAGTCCTCCATAATATGTGGGTTTGAAATGGAGGAAAGATGGCTTTGGGCAATTTACGGAAGGATGTTTGGAAGTAATTTTTAATCTCACAATCTTACATATGGGTTCCTTAAGATGGTGGACTAAGTCTTGATTTGAACAGCTGATATGTTTTCCCTGTCCTTATTGCGATACCAAACATACGATCTCAAATTATTTCAGTGACCTGATTCCTACTGTTCATCCAGTCTCTTGGGGAGCTCTCAGCCATGGGGGCATCAGTTCACCTGGCAGAGTTGGGGTCAGGGTACAGCTGTCTTCTAAGTGGACATCGGTAAAATTACCCTATGGATTGCAGGAAAAATGGGTACTCCTCTGTGTGATCCCTCCCCCAAAACACACAAAATATACCTAGGCAGCTTCAGTGAAGTTAAGTAGCTGGGCACAGGCTGAGTGTGAAAACACTGTCCCTTCTCCTGCTGTGACCAGGTGATGCTCTCCGAGAATGGAGCTCTCCTCCTCTGTCCCTCTTGTGCCTAAAAGTTGGAGATGAGTGACTTCTTAGTGCTTCTTGTATTAAAGCCCTTGAAGCACTTCTGGGGGTATATATATGTATATATTTTTTTTTTTCCCCCCTGATAATGTAGCAGAGAACCTCTGAACCGGTTACTGATCTGCTGGAAGGTGTGGGTCATTTTGTATTGAGAGCCGCCTTAGCAGAGCCTCTTTGTGGGTGTGCTCATGAAGTACAGACAGAAGAAGCAGACACACAACGTACAAATAAACCATCTAAATATGTTCATATATATACTTTAATATTTTAATAATATTTTAATTGTAAAATACCGAGCCTCTTAAGAAGAGACGCCTCTGAATTTTCATAGAAATGGCTTCCACAGGAGTGACACTGCTTTCTTTTCATCATCTGTAAAGCTGTCCTGTGGCTATTGCTATTCTACATGATAGCACTTGGATACCAACGGACGGGGACCCCCTTGTACAGGACATGGTAAATTCCTGTCCCGGCAGAAGATTATCACTTTATAAATCATGTTCCGCCAGCACTGAATTGTTTCAGCGGTTTCCTATCATAGTTCACGTTTATGAATATCTTAACAGAAAAGCTGCCGTTTTCAGTTTCCTCTTTGGGACTTGTTTCAGGACAGAACTTTTACATATGCTTCATTTAAAAGTTTAATTTAAATTATATTGCTTAAGCTTATGTAACTTGTATGTTAAACCACTGAACGTGCTGTGTGCTTTTGTGCTGGTGAATATCAATATGCCTCTTACAGTTGTCAAAATTTACCCTCCTCGTGATGCAGCTGTACTGATATGATACTAGCTGAATTGATTCGATTCTGTTCAATATTTTTGTGTTTAAAAAAAAAAAGTGATAAGATTTGTCTGAAGGTTTTTTGTTTTCTTTCCTGATGAATCACTGGTAAATGGAGAAAGATCAATGACGTGTAAATCATTCAAAATACAAATACTTCCACATGAAAGATGTGATTCAAAGAATGTGGGAGGTAGATTGTATTTTTAGTTTGGTGCTTTTTATTTTGACAGATATGGAATATAGGTACAGAGATTTTTAAATCGTCAGTGTTTAAATCTGTAATGTTTATGATTACTTAATTAGGTTTCCTACTTTGAGATATATTTGGACAAAATAAGGGACCTACTCGATGGTAAGTTCTGCATTTCTTACGTGACTGAGGGTTGTGGGGCTTGGTACAGTGCTTTGAATCAACGCTTAAGGGGAAACAGTTACTTTCTTTGAGAGTGATTTAAATTTACGCTGTATGACTGGGTTTGTGAAAGAGAATTTTGCAGTTTAAGTCGTCTGATCTCTGACTCTCATGCACCTACCTCTGCAGTGCTACATAGCTTGATTATAAATCAGTGAGTACAGAGGATTTTACAGGCTTCAAGGCATGTCTGAGCCTCATTGGCAATGTGTATTCTTAAAGTAAAACTTTTTTGTTAAATTTAGAATGCATTTGGTTCAACGTATTCCTTGCTTTGCTTCTGTTAGGTAGAGTTTGTTGGGAGTTATCCGTCTCTCTTACAATTTGTGTGTCTGTATATGCATGCTGTATGTTGACGAAAGTGCGAATTGATGTGTTGAATCAGTCTGAAGACAGAGAAATGTATGCTAACGGTAACGCCAGGAACGGGTATTCGAGCTTTTTTGAATTCCACTGTGTTCTTCTGTTTCTTTTGAAATTTTTGCTGCTTTGGCAAAATCCAGCTTGGTCTGTGTTTATTTTATTAATCCAAGCAATAAACAAAAGCTCTCGTGCGGTAAAGTTAACTTTAAAGAAACAGGTACAAGATTGACAGAACAAGAAACAAGTTTTACGTAACGGAAATATTGGTAGCTAATAAGGAGTGGGAAGTGACTACAGTCCTCATTTACAAATTTAATACATTCACAGTATTTGTCTGTCATGCCTGTAGTTGACACATTGTTACCTGTGAAATATTCCTAATGATCTCCATCTCTTTTACCAGTGTCAAAGACAAACCTCGCTGTACATGAAGATAAAAACAGAGTCCCATATGTTAAGGTACAAAGAAAATTTGATGCTCATTTTTTCATTCTTTCTCACATATGCATTTATTTACATATTTCCATTTGTATCCCAGTGCGTTTGCTTGACATGATTCAGCTCACGTACAGAGTCTTGAATGTTCAAGTAGTATTGGTCCCTGAATTTAAAGTTTTCTGAAATATTAATGGGCTTGGATCATGTTTGCTTTATTTTCCTGTCTTTAAACATTCACATTTTGTTAGTATGGTGTTAAATTTTAAGTATTCATATTCCCATTTCGTGTCAGATATGAAAGAGAACATCTTGAAGAATTTTGTTCTTTAATGTTTTGTTGTATAGATGCTGTAACCTTGCGATATTAGAACAGGTTTGTTGGGTTAAGAATTTGTTTTATGACTTCCTGGGCCCTCACTTAGATGTAATATACTTGTTATGAACATATGTGAACCTTAATAATGTACATATAATATTGGTCTGTTTATTCTCATCCTGGGGAGGGCAAAAAAAAAAAATTGGATAAAATAATGCCTTCAGTAATACTGCATTAAGGCAAAGAACAAGGACTATGCATCTTGTCTTGTAGTTTGAGAGAGAAAAACTAATTTGGGTATGTAATCTAACGCAAATTAGTAACAGGAATATATGCTGTATCATGCCATGTGTTCTAAGTATAGAAGCTCTCTTCTACTGTGTGTTTGGATTTGACCGAGTCTTAAATCTCATGAAAGAAAATTATCTCTCAAGTTATCCTGTGGACTCCTCCTGAAAGCCACACAAAGGCGTGTTTTGGCCCATTGCCTCCCTAATGACCATGTTGGATGTTGATGGCTCTTCTAATTCTTTTGTTCGTCAGCGCTAAATATTCTTCCTGATGGCATTTGGAGTACTAGGACACTTCCTAAACTTCTCTGTTTTCAACTTGCGCATTTCTAGGGTTGTACAGAAAGATTTGTATCTAGTCCTGAAGAAGTTTTGGATGTCATTGATGAAGGGAAAGCTAACCGTCATGTAGCCGTTACAAGTAAGTATTCTGTGGAAGCTTTCCTGGCTACACAGTGTGGGTGGTTGTAGCTTCCTAGTGGTGTATTGATTCTTCATGTTCACAAAGTACTTTCAGTTACTTACGTGAACGATGCAATGATGCACAAATTATAACGCTCTAGAATTAATAGAGCTGTGCTTTTTTTACCGCTTCACTGCATACAGAAACACTTATTGACTTTCGGCTTTGAGAACTCCTGAATGGCAATTATATAGTATCGTTAGATAAAAAGTCAAACTACGTATTGTTACACATAGTATAGATATTTTGAAATTATGTACATATATTCTTCTTTGTGCTACAAGTCAAGAACGCGGAGCAATTCACTGGTCAAATAGCAGGCAAAGACTGCAGAGCAGTTACCAGATTCTGCCTGTTTCTCTCTTGCAAGTTATCCCAGTGAAGCAGCGACTTGGACTGAGTTTCAATGATGGCAAAGCATACAAACCTTCCTGATTTAAGAAACCTAATAATCACTTCAGCCTGTGCCAAATTTGTTGACATTATGTTGAATGCAGCCTGCTAGCATTACAGTGATAAAAAGGGCAGGTATCTTTGCCCTGTTTCCCAATTTATACTGTGAGATGTCTTTGATCCCAGCAGTGAGCTTGGCAGAACCTCAGCTTGTAACTCAAATTTTCATGGTGGGGTGGGCTTTTTGGGGGTCTGTGTGGGCGTTTGGGTTTGGGTTTGTTTGTTGTTGTTGTTGCAATTTTATTTTATTTTCTATTTTTGATGATGCACTTGAGTAACTTCTTTCTCTTCCATGTCTCTCTGCCTTCTTGCTTTGGTAAATACTGTATTGCTTTAGCTTTCCCATGCCTTTCTCATCATACTAATAGAAATGTATTCTCTTTCTGAGTAACGTTTCCTCCCGTTGTTTCTGCTATTCTCTTTAACAAAAAATACCCAAATACACCTTTTGCTGTGATCCTGCTTGTTGCATTTGGTGCACACAGAAAAGTTCTGACAGAAGTTGACAGAGAACGAATTTTACATACACTGAAATGGCAAGGAGTGAATTTGGAAGTGTTATTGAAAAAAATGAGTTTGGAGATGGAGGAGAAAAAGGGAGTTCAGATAAATATAAGTACTGCTGTGAATGTGAATGGGGAAAGGTGGTAGTGGATTTTAAAGTAACAGAGAAAATAGAGAAAACAGACAAGAAAGTGGTTTACTGATTCTTAATGTTTTCTTTTTGTGACTTTATGAAGCTTCAAGCATGACACGGTTACAATCAAACTTGGAATAAGTGGAAGCTGAAAGTGTAACTGCCTGTGTTTTACCTGCTGTCCGGGTGAAGGAGGATTTTTAATTACATAAGCAATAAAAATCACTCTGAAATTTCAAATAGTGTGTTTTGATGAAAACTTCTGCTAAATTTTTGGGAGTTCTCCTCACGCAATTGCACGGAGACCTGCCCAGCTTCTTTTTATTGCAGTTATTATTACTTCTTTTTAAATTCTCTTGCTCAGCTCAAAATTATTCCTCTGTCCAGGATGCTGAACATAGATCCTCATTGTAGTTCTGTGTCTAAATATTGTCTGTTATATCACAGCAGTTTTTTGTGTGAGCTGTCTATACTCGTGAAGAAGCATGAGAGGACAGAACCTTTATTTCTTACTGTATCTGTGTAATGTTATTTTATTATTCTTATGCTGTGATTTTTTTTTTTTGTTATTTTTTACTATTTCTGGTCAAATTTTATTGCTTCAGGGGGGGGAAAAACTTTCAAAAAAGGAAGAAAGAAAGGAAAAAAACTTTCAAAAAAGGAAGAAAGAAAGGAAAAAAAGCTTTTTTTTCCCAAGGCTGTCATTTATCATGAATCTGGTTAACTTGGTCATGTTGGGAGCTCATTCTGTAGTCTATGAGCTTTATTTGCAGCTCTTGGCGTAGACACTGCTGTCGGTACCGTGGTCTGGGCTCTCCAGTGAATGGACTCATCCTTTTGAATTTGCTAGCCATGGGCTAGCTCTAACGAAATATAATTTCTTGTCAGGTTTTAAAGTAATTTTAAATAAAACCTTTCAAATGTGATTGCAGATATGAATGAACACAGCTCTAGGAGCCACAGTATCTTCCTCATTAATATTAAGCAAGAGAATGTGGAAACTGAGAAGAAACTCAGCGGAAAGCTTTACCTGGTAGACTTGGCTGGAAGCGAGAAGGTAATCTTTCCTTTTTCCTAAATGGCTGAATTATCCTAGTGGGATCACTAAACTGGTCATGTGAATGTGTGTCAGTGCAAACTAAGCTAGGTATAGTTACAGAAGTTTTACAGAAGCCTTATCTCATGTTATCGTTATTATGGCAATCTTTTTCTTTCTTTTTTTTTTTTTAATGTGGTGTGGGGAAAGGAACAGATCAGAACCGTTTATTGGTATGAAATGCAAAACCCAAGACTCTGCAATGTACCTTCATTTATAATGAAGTGAATTGAACCAGTGTATTTTTATGTAGCTTCACATTTAGTTATGGGTATTTGAATAAAGTAATATAATTTTTACATAATTTGTCATATTAGACTGCTGTCTTAATTTGCTTCTATTCAGACATGTCCTAAATCTAGGTTTTCTGTAATTATTTCACATATTAGATCAATGAAATAACAGCAGTTAATGCAGTTATACAGCTGAAATCTACTTGAAGTTCCCTGAATGACTGTCTTGATTGTAGTGACTATTTCTGTTTTCCAATATAGAAAAATACTAACCAGAAAAGAACTTGTATCTGTTTATCAAAAGAGTAATGGTCTAGAACAGTACTGCAGCGGAAAAAAGTTGTTTCTCGGTTCTAATTCTAATGTCTTCTGTAGTGTTCATAATTTCTTCACTGTAAATTAAAGAAATGAATTTAAAACCCCATCGTTTTGCAACGCTATGGATCCTTTATTCAAGCTGGATCCTTGGTAACTACTCTGCATGTCAAAATAATTAAATAATTACTCATGATGAAGCAATGTCTCTCATTGTGGTCATAGATTTCCATTTCTTTCTGAAAACAAGAAGTAAAATGACAGATTTTGTTTGATAGGCTGAGCAGCTTTCAGAATGCTCATTGGGACGTGCTAGTTGATAATCCATCATTACAATGCGGAAGCCATCCATCAGAGTAATTAATCGTGTTAATTCTATTATTGCATATAATAGTAAATGTTAAATTAAAAACTCCTAGTGGTGTTTAGAAAATGAGTGCCTAGTCAGGCTCCCCTCTCCTCTGAAAACTACACTTCTGTGGTTCATTATGTTCATTTGGACATTGTACAGAAAACCTGAAATAAGGGTTTCCTTGGTAGATTGTCGTCTTAAAAGAGACAATTACGTTTCCTTTTATGTGGCATTCATTTTTAGAGGAAATTACAGATACTGTAGCTTCAAGTGTAGAGAAAAATATATAGCTTTATATAGCTTTATCCTACATTTCTGTTCCGTCCCACCCACCCCCCAAAAAAAAAAGAAAAGACTATAAAACTGTGTCACTGTC